GTCATTAGCACCTCTAGTAATATATTTACTGAGAAAAATGCTGACGTGTTCAATACTTGTTTTACCTGCTGTATTTAAGTCAATGGGCAGGTAAAACTTTTTCCTGCAGGTTTACTCTGTCGTACTTCAGTCAAGTTGGTCCCAAATTTGTCTGAGAAGCAAAAACATCTTTTCTGTTCAACAAAGTTGTTCCCACTTTTTTTCAAATGATCCAGCCAATCAGAGAGCAGCAGCAGCAAATGAAAGCTGTGAAGCACAAACAAAAACAAAGTGATCTGAGGGCCGTAACAAAGAAACCAACAAACTGTAACTTCCTCCTCACTGAGGTCAAAGGTCAACAGATTAGTCTGAAGAGCCACAGAAATGTTGATTTTCTGCTTTGAACCTGTTTCCTTCCCTGTGTGAAGATCTGATCCTGTCTTCCTGCTGTTGGACCTACACTCCTCTTCTCCAGGGTCTTCATGCTGATAACTCAACATGTGAAGTTCACATGAAGTGAAAGGTTTCAAGGTAAAAACATTAAAAACAATAATGTAAACATAGTTTATGTTTTCCTTTTTACATTTGATAAAACTGGACTGTTTTCTAAAATGTAACCAAACTTTGGGATAAAAAGAGATGATTTGTTTTGCAGCTGAAGCCTCTGATGAACACTGAGTCTGATCATCAGGTTCACAGAGCTGCAGCTCCTGGACTTCATGGTCTCAAACATCTGTTTGTCACAAAGCTGCAGCCCAACATTGTCCTCATGTAGCTCTGAGACGAAGGTTTTACTCCTCATTTCTCACATGACTCCCACCTTCAGAGGCGCTCGGCGTGCAGGAGGTGATTGGAAATGCAGATGAAGTTTGCGTGGGCTCGCTGCAAGCAGCTGAGGTCAGAGTGGGAACGACTTCATCAGCATGCATACAGATGAGAGCTTTTYATTTAGCTCATAAAGTTGCAGCAACAGTCCAGACTTTCTGTTTTCCAGTCTTATTGAGGACTGGAGTTTGAGCAATAATGAGTTTCATCTGAAAGTGAAGCTTTTTAAGCCTCCCACGCAGCCAAACATCACCTCCTCCTTCACATGCTGCTCAGCAGCATCTTCACTCACTGCCTTTCTTTCATTCATTACTGCAGGCTTCATTTCAAACATTTTCTCATCAGGGTTCTGTGTCTGACACAAGAATATCCAAGAAATGACTTTTTTAAAGGTTTCTGTAAACTTCTGTTGTGAGCAGAAAAGAAAGATCCTTTAAAATCTAAAATAAAAGCAGTTAATGAATCTGTAATGAAGTTCAACAAACTGGGCCCTGGTGGATGGTTCTGGATGGTTCTGGATGGTTCTGGATGGTTTGTTTTCCTCTTCTTCCTCCTCCCAGCTCCAGCTGACCAGCAGAGCAGGTTTTATAAAACTGTCATTTCCTCACTTAAATATCAGCTGTGATCTTGTGTTTAGAAAATATTATTTATGGTCATCAGAAACCATTGAACACCTCATTCTGTTTATTTATCTTATTGTGTTTATTCTAATTATATTTTATTGATTTCTGTAAGGAGACCTTAAGGCACGTATAAATAAAAWGTAATATAAATATAAAGTGTAACATTTGAAAATCCATTTGTAGCACTGAGAACAGGTGAACGTTCTGCAGGGTTCTGTTCCAGAACAAGCTGCAGAACTCACATCAGAGGACAAAGAGCACAGGAAAGAGGCTGCACCCCCCCCCCCCCCGGGGGGTGGGGCAGATTAAAGCAGCATAAAAGCAAGCAGGTCCACCACTAAGTTACTGTGAAGGAGAACCTTTCTTCTCTCTGCAGAAAATGTGCAGCAGCTAAATCGGCTTTAAGGAATGAATGAGCGTTACTGAAGAGGAGCGGGTCGGACCTGAGGAGCGGGTCGGACCTGAGGAGACCTGACGTACTGAAACAGGCTGATGAATGAAGAGAACTTCAGGCTCCTGGGAGGCTCTGCTGCCTGATGCTCCAGCGTGTCTCCATGTCCCACATGTCCAGATTATTACGCTCTTTGTTTCTCAGTTTCAGTCAAACCACCGTCCCAGCAGCAGAAACTCACTGGATTCCTTTTTCCACTTCTTCTGTTTGAGGAGCAGAGCAGAGCCAGAACCGTGTCCAGTCTGATCAGACCAGAACTTCCACTGAGCCTGAAATAAACTCTTAGTGACCCAMGAGAAAACAGGACTGAATGTCTGCATTTTACAGCTTCACGTCACGACTCCCATCAGGACCAGTCTTCCCACAGACACAACGTGTTAAAGCCTCGGAGCAGAGCTCCTCCTCTGAACCCTGACAACGTTCCTCTGAGGCTCTGACACCAGAGGACACTGGAGCTTTGACCACACCTGGTGGACACCTGCAGCTGCACGAGACATTAACAGTCCCACAGCGCCATCTGGTGGTGGACATCTGCAGCTGCATGAGAGACGTTAACAGTCTCAGATTTAACCTTCTAGGACCTGGCGCCACATACGTATGTGGACAAAAATGCAGGAGTTTGTGTCTCAGGAGGTTAAAAGTTTTTACTGTAGCTTTTTTCAACTTTACTGAACTAATCAGAAGTTTGCGTCTGACTGGAGATGATTTAAAGTTTGGTCTGAAACATGATGAAATCTAAAACAGCAGGTTGAAATCTCACAAGTTGATTTATTATTAAGGCTTCAGTTGAACTGGATTACAAACAGATTGTGTGTATTTCAGGGARGTACACTGGATTTTAAAGTTTTTTCAACCTTAGTTTGAACAGAGAACATGTTTCCTCTTTACTAAGTTTTTCCATCAGATCAGTCCTTCCAGCTGAGTCCAAGAGTCTCGGCGATGAAGGAGAAGATGTGCGTGTCCTCCAGGATGGCCTTGGCAGTGGGTTTTCCTGCTCCATGTCCACTGCGGGTGTCCACACGTAGCATCAGAGGCTGCCGCTGCTGGGGGCTGCTGCCCACACCCAACTGCAGGGTGGCACAGAACTTCAGTGTGTGCAGRGGCACCACCCGGTCATCATGATCTGCCGTCAGCAGGAGAACCGCTGGGTACGGAGGCCCGGAGTAAGGAGGAGCAGGTAGGTTGTGGAGAGGAGAATACCTGCAGGGAGGAAAGGAAACTAAAGGTAAAAGAGCTGACATCAGCACAGAACAACCAATCAGAACATCTGGAGGATAATCAATAATGAGACGTTGTCTGCAGGGGGATGTGAGAGTTTTGTACTTGATGAGCCACTGGAACTGTTCGGGGTCATCAGAGCAGCCATAGTCGGTGGTCCAGGCGTGACCGATTGTGAACTTGTGGAACTTCAACATGTCCATCACTCCCACCTCTGCAACTACACAGCCAAACAGGTCCGGACGCTGGATCATGCAGGACGCTGTAGAGATGTGTGGAGAACATGAGACTTAGTTTCTGGATTTGTTTGGAGGGCTGCTGATGGCTGCTGCTCGTACCGACTAAMAGGCCTCCGTTGGAGCTTCCGTTGATGGTGATGCAGCTGGCTGTGGTGTACTGTTCCTGGATCAGGTACTCTGCTGCACTCTGGAAGTCATCAAAGCAGTTCTGTTTGTTCCCTAAAGTCCCAGCTGCAGACACACAACACACAACACACAACAGGGTTTAACAAGAGAAGTCTCAGAAGTTTGAACGGTTCAGGGCTGCTACCTTTGTGCCAGGTCAGGCCGTACTCTCCGCCTCCTCTGATGTTTGCCACCGCCAGGATTCCTCCCAGATGTCTCACAAACAGCAGATAGGCAACACTTGAACACACACACAGAAACACACACTCAGGATGGAAACAGGAAGCTTCATGTGTTTGTGCAGCAGGTTGTCTTCATGAATGAATATGATGGTAAAGAGTTCACTGAAGAATCTTTAAACTGATTCTTCAGTCAGACAAAAAACATGACTTGATCAGAAGACTTTTTACTTTGTAACAACAGATTGTGAGTCTAAAGCAACAACACTGATCAAAGTGTGCCAAACCTCTTGTATGAAACCCAGCTGAACTAAAACCTGGTTCTGGATTGACTGACAGCTCATCAGTGAGTCACAAGTCCATTGTTAGGCACAGATCTTGTTTGAACTGCTCTCATCATGGTTTGTCCTGGTGGGTTCTGTGACAGAACCAGATTAAGACCAGGTCCACATGGACTCACTTGTAGTAGGGCTGAATTGAATTCTCGAAGCCTCCGTATCCATACAGGAAAACTGGATGAGTGCCGTCTTTCTTCAGGCCCCGAGCATGAACCAAGAACATGGGGATCCTGGTTCCATCTTTACTTGGATAGAAAACCTGAAAACAAGATGAAAGACACCTGGTGAGTAATGTTTCTGACACCAGCTGTCCTCACGTTGTTTGTCACTTCCTGTTATCCTCACTGAATAATGGTGTGCTCATCCATCAGCTGATGGGATTAAACACCTGCACAATGAGTGGATAACATGGCTGATGTGAGGACAAACAGAACACAGGTCATCTTACCTGGCTGGTCTCAAAGTCCTCCTGCTTCATGCCTTTCACCTCCACCTCCCTGAAGACCTCAGGCTCTGTGTTCGGCTTGCTCAGGTCACAGTGATAAATAATACCTGGTTAGCAGGGAGACCCAGAGAGAACAGGAGTCAGCAAGCATTCTACCCACTAATGTACCAGGTGTGGCCAACAGGTAGGAGGTTACCAGGTGTGGTAAACAGGTAGGAGGTTACCAGGTGTATTAAACAGGTAGGTTACCAAGTGTGGTAAACATGTAGGAGGTTACCAGGTGTGGTAAACAGGTAGGTTACCAAGTGTGGTAAACATGTAGGAGGTTACCAGGTGTGGTAAACAGGTAGGTTAACAGGTGTATTAAACATGTAGGTTACCAGGTGTGGTAAACAGGTAGGTTAACAGGTGTATTAAACAGGTAGGTTAACAGGTGTATTAAACAGGTAGGTTACCAGGTGTGGTAAACAGGTAGGAGGTTACCAGGTGTGGTAAACAGGTAGGTTACCAGGTGTGGTAAACAGGTAGGTTACCAGGTGTATTAAACAGGTAGGTTACCAAGTGTGGTAAACATGTAGGAGGTTACCAGGTGTGGTAAACAGGTAGGTTAACAGGTGTATTAAACAGGTAGGTTAACAGGTGTATTAAACAGGTAGGTTACCAGGTGTATTAAACAGGTAGGTTACCAGGTGCATTAAACAGGTAAGTTACCAGGTGTGGTAAACAGGTAGGTTACCAGGTGTGGTAAACAGGTAGGTTAACAGGTGTATTTAACAGGTACGTTACCAAGTGTGGTAAACAGGTAGGAGGTTACGAGGTGTATTGAACAGGTAGGTCACCAGGTGTGGTAAACAGGTAGGTCACCAGGTGTGGTAAACAGGTAGGTCACCAGGTGTATTAAACAGGTAGGTTACCAGGTGTATTAAACAGGTAGGTCACCAGGTGTATTTAACAGGTAGGTCACCAGGTGTATTTAACAGGTAGGTTACCAGGTGTATTTAACAGGTAGATCACCAGGTGTATTAAACAGGTAGGTCACCAGGTGTATTAAACAGGTAGATCACCAGGTGTATTTAACAGGTAGATCACCAGGTGTATTAAACAGGTAGGTTACCAGGTGTATTTAACAGGTAGATCACCAGGTGTATTTAACAGGTAGGTTACCAGGTGTGGTGAACAGGTAGGTTACCAGGTGTATTAAACAGGTAGGTCACCAGGTGTATTAAACAGGTAGGTCACCAGGTGTATTAAACAGGTAGGTCACCAGGTGTATTAAACAGGTAGAT